CTCTAAGGCATAACAAAACACATTTAAAACACTAACATCAAAGTGCTAGGTATTTGGAGATTCTGATTATCCCAAAATACAGGCCCGTCTTCTCAAGAGCCCGATTTAACGGTCTCCAGTCCACAATTTTAGATGGCCGATATTCTGGCACCCCTTAAGAAAAAAATTGTGTCCTTCTAAGGATAAAGAAATCGAAACTTTGAAGCGCGTCCTTTTTGAGTGTCATTTTTACAGAAATAAGCATATCAGAATCCTCAAGCCCATAACAAATGTCTTCCCAGGTAGGACTCTGATTTGGCATACAAAATATTTATTAAGTGACACAACCACCAAATCTGTGGCCAAATTCCTTCTCTTTGCCCAAAGAATCCGAAAGACAATCTTGACCTCTACCTAACCCCGTCATAAAAAATAATGTATGGGTCATCTATTTTATTAGTTTATAATGTTTTAGCTATCTTGAAACATTTTAATTGCTTCCATCTATTTTAAATATTACATGTATGTATCCTATTGGGTGAGAGACCGCAAATAAAGATTGATGGATTGATTGATTGATTGATAATCCAGCTCGGATGTAACTAAGGCATGTGTCACTGTGGCCAGCTCAGTTTTAACTGCGCAAGGGCACTCCTGGCCACAGCTAAAATCTGGACAGCCAGTCTCGGAGACGAATCCAAGAGCACTGCCAAGCTGCAAACCTGTGTTTCCAGAGGAAGTGTCACCCCATCCAGCACCAGCTGCAACCCTATGCCTTGATCTGCCTTTGCACTTCTGTCTTGATTAAGGTTCAGTTTATTCACCCTCATCCAGTCCATCCCTGATACCAGACCGTGATTTGGAAACAGCCTCTTCAGCTTAAGCAAGGCCTGCCAAGACTTTGGACTAACCATCAGCCTGAAGAAAAAACAAGTCATGGGCCAGGGCGTGGACTCACCTCCCTCTATTAACATCTCCACGCAAGGATTGGAAGTTGTTCATGACTTTGTGTATCTTGGCTGAACGATCTCTGACACTCTGTCCCTAGATGTTGAGCTGGATAAACGCATCGGGAAAGCAGCTACCATGGTCTCTAGACTCACAAAGAGAGTATGGCTCAATAAGAAGCTGACGGCATAGATCAAGATCCAGGTCTATAGAGCCTGTGTCCTGAGAACACTCCTGCACTGCAGTGAGTCCTGGACCCTTTGTGCACGGCAGGAGAGGAAGCTTAACATGTTCCATACGCATTGCCTCCGACACATTTTTTTATCACCTGACAGGACAAAGTTCCAAATAGAGTAGTTCTAGAACGAGCTGGAATTTTCAGCATGTACACATTACTGAAACAGTGATGTCTATGTTGGCTCAGGCATGTTGTGAGAATGGCTGATGGTCGGATTCCAAAAGATCTCCTGTATGGAAAATTAGTGCAGAGAAATTTCCCCAGAGGGAGACCACAGCTGTGATACAAGGAAATCTGCAAGCGGGAGCTGAAGGACTTAGGAATGGATCTCAGCTTAAGATAGCGAGGAGAGATATTTGTGACACCAAACCCCCAAACTCTGGACAACCTCTCCCAGTGGTTTCATGTTGATGTTCGGTAACATAGGGGACAAAAAAGAACCTTGAGGGACCCCCACAGGCCAGTGGCCAGGGTGTCAAACAGGCGTCCCCTAAGCACTGCCTTCTGAGTTCTCTGTTCCGGGAAGGACTGTTGCCACCAGAAAAACAATCCCTCCAAATGCCATCCCAGAAAAAAGTTTTGGAAATTGGAACATAGCTTTCCAGTCTGCATTTGGCAGAGCGGGCATGGCCACATTAGTTGACCTAAGAACTTAAAGAGTGTGCATGTTTCCTCATTCTCCATGTTATATCTATTCCCACCTTTGCTTCAGTATTTCATTATGTCCAAAACATGCTTTCAAACTAACGTAGCGCAGAGGGATTAGAACCATGTC